TCATACTAATTTTAAACGTATGAGTATGAGTAATAATATACTGTCTGCGCTTCTTATGAAGGTGTTATTTTTTTCATTTGTTGCTATATACCTAATTTTGGATAGCAAAAACCTAGTTTTGGTATTAGCAGATATTTTTATGAGTGCTATTTTACTAATTTTTACATAATGCCAATATGAGGTCATGCTTTTTGTGACCTCATATTGGCATTATGTAAAAATTATGGATATAGTTTTTATTTAGATGTTATGAATACCTATTTTTGCTTAGCAACAACTAACTTATTAGTTGCATGTTTTTTTATTCATATTTAGCATTTTATTTGTATTTAGCATTTTATTCGTATTTAGTGTTTTATTCGTATTTAGCATTTTATTCGTATTTAGCACATGTTTTATTATGAGATCCTTGCTTGCAGAAAGCAAAACTTATTTGGGTTTAATATGATTAACTAGTGTTATTACACGCACTATTACACGTTGCTAGATAAACTTGTTTTCCTGTAAAAAAATTATATTCCAGCTTAATTAATTAGTTTTTCTAATTAACAGATTTTACGAGCATCTACAGAATTTTCTTATTTGTATAGGTTTTTTTAAAATTTTTTAACTCACCTCCTCAAGGCCATAAAGACCACTACAGTCAAGGAGGTTACTTTTAATCGTAGAAACAAGTTGAGCGCGGTATTACCAGGGATGTGTTGGGGATTGATAGTGTAGTGCTCTACCACTACTATTGCATAACTATTTTATTTTATTAACTAAGTTATTATTGTTCCCATGCATTTATATTCACCGAAAATCACAGGGTATTATTGTTCTCATGCATTTACAATCACTGAAAATCTTTGACAAAGTTTGCTACAAGTAGTACAAGCTCAGTAAGTGGGCTATATATTTAAAAATAAAAGATACTTATGTACAATATAATTCAGGCGAAATTACAAAATAAAAGAATAACTTTCTTTTAAGAGTTGCACAAACTGGAAAGTTTACTTTTTTGGGATGCTTTGGTGATCATAAAGCACTGAAAGCGGTAAAAGGAGTTCATTTGTCTTTGAACGCAAACACTTCTTTGAAAAAAATTAGTGAAATTTTTTTGTCTTTATTTTGTGCTTATAAGGCCTCTTCACTTATCATCCAACAGCTGCAGCACAGTATGATCTACCAATGCTTGAAAATTGATGCCTGTAGAGTAATCTGTTGCTGTCCATGATTTACGGCTAGGCAAGGACCTCTCTTTTGCCTTAGGTATATCATTGTATGGTGGATATAAATTACTTTTTTTTCTTTTTGCATTGTTTCTTAAGCAATGATATTGAGATTTTCTCATCTCATTATCTAATAAAAAAGCCAACACTCTTTCATATTTATTATCAGAATAACCTCGTTTATCTATATTATCAGCTCATTATCTAATAAAAAAGTCATTTATTTTTACTCTCCTTTAATAATGTGTAATTTTCAGAGTTCTTCAGAAATCTTCAGTTCATTTACTTCGAGTCTCTTACTCAGAAATAAATGAAATTGACTCTCTTACTTTTTGTTCTTTAATTAAGTTTTATAAAAGTATACTGTCTTCTTTTTATGTATTGATAGACTGTTGAGTCTAATAAATTGGTGAATTTCATTTCTTGTGACACTCACTAAGTCTAAATAAAAACAGCAGCTCTACATCTGTAATAAAAAAGTAACCTCATCTAAACCAGCCAAAATAGATTATTAAATCCATTTGATTTGACAAGCGCTAAATTAATAAGAATAATATGTTTTCCACGTTTTTTAAAACTTTTTTTTTTAAACTAATAATATAATATTTTGAAAAGTGCAATATTTTATGTAAATTTTTTGTAATTTGTAACAAATTTTATGTAAATTATTTATTTCCATTGATTTTTTAAACAACATTTTTCTTTTTATAATTTTTAGTTTACATTCTTCAACTGCATCATTAGTATATTCATTAAAATTTTAAGTGTATATAAACAGTTTTAATTTGTTTTTCAATATCTATACAATGGTTTAACCATTATGGTTTAACCATTATGACATCAAAATTCTGACTTTGATTTTTATACTTTTGTCCAGTCACTGATCCACTATGTGTTGTAACTATGAGTTACTATTGTAATCTTATTATAAAAATAAGTATTTTTTTTTTTTTTTATTGATTCACTTCCAACAAGGCCGCAAGCAACCACTATTAAGTTAGGAGTTACTTGCAAACAAAGAATAGAGTTAAAGAGCAAGGAAACGGTTGACAGAAGACTTGAAAAGTTGTAGTTTGTATGAGTTAAAAAAAAATGAAGATGGGAGAGAGTTCCAAAAGGTTGAAGTGCGGGGAAAAAAACTAGCCAGATAAAAGTTTTTAGAGCATGCAGGGACAGATAGAGTAAAAGGATGAGACTTTGCTGAATGACAATTCAAGCAAGAATGAGTTTTGGTTGATGGAACTAGAAATAATAGCTCCTTTGAGCAAAAATCAATATGGTATATTTTTGGCTCATAATGGGATGTGAGAAATTTATTGATCAAAAACTCAAAAACCTTGCTAATAACAGAAAATAGACTGATTGGTAGATAATTAGAGGGGTCAGATAGTTCTCCGGATTTTTTTCAAATTTAATTTTTCAATATTTTGTAGCAAAATATTATACAGCTATAATTATTAAAAATCGTCTGAGTATGACAGAAATGTTTTCTTAACTACACTGAGTATGACAGAAATGTTTTCTTAACTACACTGATTATGACAGAAATGTTTTCTTAACTTCACTGAGTATGACAGGAATGTTTTCTTAACTACACTGAGTATGACAGAAATGTTTTCTTAACTACACTGAGTATGACAGGAATGTTTTCTTAACTACACTGAGTATGACAGGAATGTTTTCTTAACTACACTGAGTATGACAGGAATGTTTTCTTAGCTACACTGAGTATGACAGGAATGTTTTCTTAACTACACTGAGTATGACAGGAATGTTTTCTTAACTACACTGAGTATGACAGGAATGTTTTCTTAACTACACTGAGTATGACAGGAATGTTTTCTTAACTACACTGAGTATGACAGGGATGTTTTCTTAACTACACTGAGTATGACAGGAATGTTTTCTTAACTACACTGAGTATGACAGGAATGTTTTCTTAACTACACTGAGTATGACAGGAATGTTTTCTGGACCACAAGCCGTAGAAGCTTTTTTTTGAGAAATGACTTTAGCAATGGAAACTGAATGTCTAACAATAGAATAACCTGTTTAATTAGAATGGTAGAAAGAGAATAGCCACAAGATTCAAGAGTCAAATTAGAAGGAATTTCTTTGCTAATAGTTCTGCCTTATACTTGGTTAAGGTAATAATCAGTCCTATGAATGAGAAATGAAATGTTAGACCTACCCTTGTTGACACTGTAGAATGTTTTCCAAGTCTAATAGAGCCTTACTTCTGAGATATGATACCGGATTTAATGAGCTGAGGATAATGGAGCTTAGCATAAGACAGCATTTTCTTACATCAATTTCTTGCAATAATAAACAGCCATTTGTTCTCAAGAGATTTACTCTTTTGAAAAAAATGTTTAAGATTAGATATAGCAGCTGTACAAGACAGTGAAAACCATGGAGTAGAATGGGGATTGACTTGGATTTGACAAGAAGGAATAAAAGCTTCCATTTCTGCCTGAATCAAGGAATCCAGGTTATGTAAGAGGCACATTTATCAGCTGAGAGAGAAAAGACATCAAAACAAGGACTGTCACAAACAAAAGTATATAAAGTAACCAACACCCTGCCAAAGGTTCAAACAGAACACAAGTATACATAAAGTAATTTACAGGTAAATGTACACCACACCAGATGTTCAGACAGAACACAAATATACAGATATATTAATTGAAGGTGTCATATTTTTGCTTATGTAAATAATTTTCATAGGGCAACAAATTTTTTTCATTTTTTTAGTTCAAGAAAAACTAATAGCTGAAAGAATTGCTCCATAGTTATGTTGTGTTCATGCAACATCTTTTGAATTACCAGTTCTGGAAATATTTCCACTTGTGCGGTTTTCTATATATATATATATATATATATATATATATATATATATATATATATATATATATATATATATATATATATATATATATATATATATATATATATATATATTTTTTTTTTTTTTTTTCAAGTATAAGTGGATAGTTCATTACATGATAAACACTTTAGATAAAAAATAACATTTTTGCTATTACAAATAATGTGACTTAATGTTTTTATTTTTTTATTACCAGATAAACTAAGTAAAAAAATTTATTTAAATTTTTGGTGGACAGTTTCAATTGCTATATTAAGTAGTCACCAAAGGAAAAACTTGTTTTGATTGCTTTAATTTGCGCTGGACCTTGTAATTTTGCAATATGAAATGATTATTACATAATCAGGGTAATGACACTCTTTTAACCATATTTTTAGTTCTGCATAGTTTTTTGTAGCATAATCAGGTGTAAAAATGATTATTTTTTTAGTAAGGTTATATGGTATGTTCTTTTTTTTTTAATATAATTAATTTAATGTAGTTAATTTTCTAGACATATCAGTTATTCTTGAAAACAATAAATACTTTTCTAGACATATCAGTTATTCTTGAAAACAATAAATACTTTTCTAGACATATCAGTTATCCTTTCTAGACATATCAGTTATCCTTGAAAACAATAAACAATAAAGCTGGAGCTTTTTAAAAAAGGATTAAAGTTAGCAAAACAAGATAAACAGAAATATTTTCAAATTCCAGTTTTATTTTAAACAATTTAATCGTTTTTGAAGATTTTTGAATACCATAACCTAAAATTAATCATCAAATTTAGGTTATGGTTCTCAAAAATCTTCAAAAAACTTTTTTTTTTTGGTTAAAGTTTAAACTTTGAGATAATTGATAACTAATTTATAGACTATAATATATTTATAACTATTTATAAGTTTGTTTTTTTTCTTTAGGTTCATATACCTGGTCATAAGGGTGTATATGGAAATGAACAAGCAGACCAGTTGGCAAATCAAGGCGCACAAAAAATAATTTAAAAATCTGTAAGAAAGATATATACATTTTTATATCTGAAACAATAACTTCCAAATTTGATTAATTAGGCTTGATAAAACAAAGGAACCTGGGTTAAAAAAATGTCAATTTTACTAAAAACGCATCGAATTAGCACTTTTCTGCTCTTCATAAGGTCATACAAAACCATGTTTGCTCTAATATATTAGAAGAGGTAAAAAGTTTATTTGCTCTATAAATAATAAATAACATAGTTCTTAAAATAATTCACAAACTTTCTGAAGAGTTTATTAAAAATTTATTGGTTCTAAATAAAATGATATCGAAAAGATACAATATATTAAAAGTTAAACTTATTTACTTTTATCATAAATAAAATCCAAAAGCAAAAGAAAACAAAAAAATTTATGTTGCCTAAATTAATTTAAATAGATCTTATTTTGATTGGTTCACAGGCATGATTTCTTAATGTCCAAATGTTGTTCTGATGAAACCATCTCTTTTTTCTTTTCCAAATACGTTGTTTTAACTTCAAATACTCTTTCTGTTTTTTCTTGACTACATAACAATGCTTGAAGAACATTTTCACTATGAGTATTCCATGAAGATGATAAAACATGAAGGTGATAAAGCATTATTGCCTTTAACTTTAAGTCTTTGATGACAAAGAAGTTTTATTTGATGAGTATATAGTTAGACCCTTCAGTCCACTTTCACTTAACCAAAGTGGCTCATAAACTCCAACAATGAACTCCACCAGAAGTTAAAGATTATATGTTTCTTCAACAAAGTACGATTTCTGAGCAAAATAAATATATTCTATTTGCGGAATTCAACCATCTTGCATGCAAATATGACCCAATTTCTTTGCCTTAAAGATTTTCCAAAAAAAAACCTGTGTTAATTGCATGATTAATTTCATAAAGATACTTTTGATTGTCTGATAGCGATTTTACAACTTTAGAGTCAAGTTCTATCATTGCATTAGGAAATTCAATTTTTATTATGCTTTTTTTGAAGCTAGTAACCTTACCTATAAGTTTATCTATAAATTGACAAAAATATTTGTGATATTTTAGCATCTACCTATATCCTCACTATTTGTTCCAGGTATTTTAGAGTCGGATTCTTTTCTACCCAAATATCTTGTTAACCAATATTTCTCTGATACATCAACTAATCCTATTTGTAAAGAACTTTTGTTACAAATTTTATTTCTTTGAGCTTCTATGAAAAATAGTTATTGCAAAGGTATCTTATAAAGACAACCGTTTCATTTACTTTCATTACATCATATAATTTTTCACATTTTGTCAAGTCAAATAACTTATTAAATTCGTCTGTAAAAATATATATATATATTTTTTTGTAGTTCTCAATTTTCTAATATCTCTTGCAATGTTCCATTTAAGGACAAGTTTATCAGCTGCATATTTTTCTGAGACCAACAGTTTTGTAGCATTTGTCGACATTCAAATACTTTTTTATTTTAATAAATGTTTGTATACACATACATCTTGTACTTTAATGTGTAACTGATCTATCATGCAACAAAATTCCATATCTCTCAGTGTAGGCAGCTCTGATAAACAAAGTTCATGTTACCCTTTACCCAATAACTCATGCAATTTAGGGCATTTTAATACTGTTTGAGCTCAAGTAACCATTTATTGTAATAAAATTGATATTATGTTTCTTTAAATATTTTTTCTAGTAGATAAAGACTATCTTTAATATATGTTATAAATTTGTTAATTACATCATTTCAAGGAAATGTTTTATTTTTTTATTGCAATATGTATGTCAAAAAGTGATCATAAATAAATTGAACACGTTTAAAACCAAATTGTCAAGAAACTATTATCTTAGTAATTTTCTTACCAATTAGCTATATGATTAACTTTATAACAAGTAAAAATCATACACCATCCCTTGTTATTGATCAATTTTTATGGTTTTTAAATAATAAAGGAGAGGGAGATATAAGCTCCAAGCCCACAAATTTTGATGACTATGTTTTATGATTCACCTCATTAGTTATATTAGTTGTTTTATGCACATTGAATATATCAATATAAAGATTGTTGTACTAATCTTTTTTAGAGTATTTAGTAAAACTGATATTTTTTAAACGCCCTACTTTCACATAAGACAAACTTGTTAAAAGAAAAAAAAATATTCGATTAAGATTAAAAAATAATATTATACATTTCTTCCAATATCCTATTACATTAAATTATTATATATATATATATATATATATATATATATATTATATATATATATATATATATATATATATATATTGTAAAATCCATAATGGTAGACAACTTTCTTTACACCTACTGTATTTGTATGGCCTTAAGTAAAGTAGCACCAAAAGTTATGTTTTATTTTTATGTCGATACTATGTCTAACTATTTTTGGATGATTGCATTCCCATAAGCTTTTTTAAAAAAAGGCAAAAAAGTGCCATTTTAATGAGTTTTTAGTAAAACTAACATTTTTCAAATGCCCTAAGCCCTACTAGATAAACTTTTTAAGAAAAAAAAAAATTTCATCTCTTATTATTTCCTAATACATAAAAATTATTGCCCAAGTTCCCATATCCAAAATTTAAAGAGTACAACCCACCCTAATGGACATTCTTTTGAGACTTCTGCTGGTAAGAGTTTTATAAAATTGTGTTTAACTCTTACTAATAAAAATTATAAAACTCCCCATTCATCAATGCATTCATGTAAGATAAATGAATTATAAATATTTTAAAGTAAATTTAAAACAGCAATACTTACAGAAATGTAAAGAATGTTCCATTACCTTTGATCATTGGAAAGCTGCAAATAGTAGCAACTATTTAGTTTTAACAGATCATTATATAATTCTAACAAAATGGAAGTTAAAAAAATGTTTCATAACTGTGGTTAATCTTGAAAATATCAATGTGAATCACACATCTCAAAAAACTAAAGAGATTATCATTAATCAACTGTAAAGTTCAAATATTGAAATAGAGAACATGCTATGTGCAATCACAGACACAACACATGCAATGCCACTGATTCTCATGTAGGAATTACATGGCAACCGTGTGCTGCACATATTCTTCAACTATGCATTAAGGGTGCGTTGAATATTCAACAGTAAAATAAAAACCTTATTAGTTTGGTACAAAAATTTTTTTAATGGCAGTTTCTCTGTAGGTATGAAATATTTGAAAAAACATCAACTTAAACAAGGACTTAAGGAATCATTTCTACCACTTGATATTGTAAGAAGTATAAACAGTACATTGAAACTTTTGAATTGGTCATGTGAAAATTGTGCGGCAATTTCAAAGGTTCTTAGAGAATGCACTTAAGTGGAAGATGTGCAAAAATTTTTCCTCAAGCTTTATTGATGACAATAAAAGATATTCAAAAAAAATGTATTCCATTTTTAAAACCAATTTTAGATGCAACAACACTACTTTGCACTTATACCACTCTGGCTATCAGTTTTAGTTAAATCTTGCATTTATAATTTAGAATTTTAAATCATTAAAATTGTAGTCTTATGAGCAACTTTAAAAACTTTCACATCTTTTCACATTATTTTACATGCATGTTTTCACATACATGCATCTACATGCATGGTTTAATTTAGCAAATATTATGCTACTTATCTCAACATACCTAAATTTTCTGGCTTTGAACCTTGGGTCTAAACCCATAGTTCAAAACCATTATGCACACTGAAAATGAGCTTTTAATTGTGAAAAATCATCTAGTTGAAATCTCAGTTGATTTTAAACTATGCAAAACATTTTCTTATGTAAATTCTATAAATGACAAAACATTGAAAACATACCAATAAATTTACTTCACACTATGTTTAACCAAGTTAGGGAAAATAGAATCTGAAAAACATTGACTTTCCCAATGAAAATTTGTAAAAAAATTGCATTGAAGATTGTATTGTTAAGGAAATGGGTACCTATGGTTGTTCGCAAGCCGCAAGTAATGATAATTGCCAAATATGATGGTTATGTTGTTCTGATTGGTTATTCCCATAATCATATGATAATTATAATGTTTTGGTTGGTTATTACCTTGATCATACAATGATTATGTTGTTCTGGTTGGTTGTAAAAGTTTATAAGCAGTTTAGAGATGCTGATGTCTTTTAACATCTGAGGCCAAATAGTCCCAATAGTCTTCTTCCTATGATAAGCAAGGCTTTTGAATCTTTAATTAACAAACACTTAATCTCCCATCTTGAATCTAATAACTTACTCTCTGATCATCAATATGGATTTCAATCTTCTTGTTCTACAGCTGATTTGCTAACAGCAATAACCGATAAGTTTTATTGTGCATTAGATAGAGGTGGAGAGGTTAAGGCTGTTGTTCTTGATATTTCTAAAAAATTTTTCATTCTAACATAGTAACTACCATAATATTTATAAATGATCACTAAAAAAGGTTTACTCTAATACATGGGGTGACTTTAGCCCGGGCCAATGTCACCCTATGTAAATGGTCAAAGACAGCCTTTTTTTTTTTAACCTCAATTACAAAAAAGTAATAAACTTTTAAGCTTTCAAAACAAGATAGAATCAAACACTAATGGTTTAAAATTAATTCAGTGTATATTCCAATAAAAAACCTTCTACAGGTACTGTTATCGATGTAAAAGTTTACACGCCTAAAAAAATTCGGATTTTAGGTGCTTCTTTTAAAGTGCAATTTACAATAATATCACAAAGACTCGAGTTAAGTAAACTAAGTTAGACTAAATAAATAGTTTTCGAAAATACAATTTATAAAATTTTTTCTGTTAATTACTGTCATCAAATGAAACAATAACAAGTATATATAAACAGTAAATTTGTTGTCGATAAACATACAGAACGCTATATTTAGTTAACAAACAAAGCCAAAAAGATTTTCCTCGCAGAGAACAAAAAATTAATAAGCATTTTAATTAAAGTTTAATAAAAATCCCAGCGCAAAAGAGCGAATGATCTCCTACTTTTAAAATAAAATTA